GGGGGGGGGGGGATCTGTACTAGGGGGGGGGAAACTCCGCAGTTTACGGTACGCAGTGCCGGTCCATTCGTAAGAAAACACACAAGAAACCCAGGCTTAGATGAAGGGTGTGGTAATACGCTACGCCGCCGGCACTACACTGTACACCCTACGTATTTCATCTCGTATTACCCCGTGCTCTCTCGTTGAAGTAACGCTGCACACTGTGTTTTTTTCCTGCATGGGAAGGCTTGTTGTGAGAGGCAGCTGCAGCGCTAAGGATGACGGCACTCGAATGCGCTTGGTTGTTCAGATACGTATTAGTCTTTTGGTGTGCTCGGTACAGAAGGGATCAGAGGCTCGCGACGCCTCGTAAATAGGCGCTAGTCCCACAGGGAAACGGGAGGTGGTTCCGCTGTAACAACGCGTTTTGTTGACGTTAGGCGATCCCACACATTCGTGCGTTTTTTTCATAGCTGGCCCGTACTGCGAAGTGTAGGTGCACCAGGGACCCCAGTTTCAGGACACCGGTTGGGCGTGCGTATGCAGCATGACGTCACGCTGTTGACCTCGGCGTGTCTCGATGGCCGAATCCCTACCACTGACAGACATAGCCTTTGCATTGTGCCCTCCAGCAGTCGTGCCCTGCATGACTAAGCCGCGATACACCGTATGCAACAGCGTATTTTGACCTCTGGCAATACCGGGCTGACTGACGTACTAAAGATGCAACACGAGGCCTTACTACGGTTTATCGAGGAGAAACCCGGTGTTTTGCTCTTCCCACAAGAAGGATGGGATGGTACGCATGCCGAAGGGCTCAAAGCCTCCGGAGGATGAGGCCCTCGGAAGGCAAACAGGGGTTCCATTTCATGCTGTGGATGGTTCCTCGCTTTACCATCGAAGACTGGCGCGTGCCCGCCATCGTCGTATGGAGGGCATGGGCCCGCGTTTTGACCCAGTGGGTTCGTGTTTACGCGCACAGTTTAGTGTACGAGCAGTTCCATGTAGAACGACGTGACTTTTCCTTTCGATTACCGCAGCTGCTGGGTTTAGTTGTATTAGTTGGCCTAGATCAGGTTGGCCAAGACTGATGGAACGTTCTCCCCGTGTTTTGTCCAGGACAAACCGAAGGTCTCATCCTCATATTGCCGCGAAGACCGCTCGTTCGTGTGGAACCTCAGAACGAAAGCGAACAAGTCGCGGCGCCAGACGAGAAACCGGCCGGGGCGGAGGAGGGTCGTGGCACAAAATGCGAGGAGGATAACACCAACCAGGGTAAGCTTTCGGCGGAGGGAAAGAGCACTGCTCGGAAGGCAAAGGAACCAAAACTTGCGGCCGCCGGGCTGCCATCGTCATCGACCCTGTCCTCTTCCGCTCGGTCGTCTTCAGGGCGACAAACCCCTCCCCTGTCGCGGATGGCAGAAGCTCCTGGATTCCCCCCTTCCGACGAGATGAGGCTGCTCCAGGAGGCCAGGGACTCCGCGCGGGCGGCGGCTGAAGCGAGCGGCTATGGCCGTCGGGCGCGAGCTCCGTCCCGCAAGTTCCTCGAGGCGTCGGGTAAGATAGTAGGAGAGAGCGCCCAGTGGATGACCAGGGAGAAAAAGGAGGAGCAGGCCAGGCTAAGCCTACAGCTGAAGGAGCAGCGGAAGGCGGCGGCGGCGGCAGGGCTCAAGCCTGGAGAGGTAATCGAAGCCGCGACCGCTGCTGGCGCCGGAGGAGACGGCATCCGCGGTGAAAATGCCCCGTGGAACGGCTCTTGGAGGAAGCTTACCCCCGCCGAAATACTGCAAGCAGCTGGTAAGACAGCCGGCGTGGGAAAGGCTCGAAAAAGTCTACCTGGGAGCACCGACACCAAAGGCGCCACCACGGAGAAGCAAAGAGAAGGTCCCGCCACTGAGGCAGATACCGGCAGGCGCTTGGCGAAAAGGCGGGGCTCGAGTGCATCCGAAGTCGCCAGCGAGTCCAAGCGGGGTAGGCACCCCAAGGGTAAGGCACCGAAGAGATGGTAGTTGGCCCGGGGCCGCTGGCAGCAAAGACTGAGACCTTGTCCAAGATGAAAAAGTTCGGTCTCGAGGGCACCATTGGCAACTAGGCTGGGGGGTAGATGCATCATCACAGCGCAGGGACCAGATACTTGCGGGGCGCACGGAAGTTGATTCTACCATTTTGGTAGTTACGGGTGGTCTATTTGATCGGCTCCAATCGATGACGATATAGATGCCGAGTCTCTGCAGGTAGAGCCGAACGACCCGTGCGTTGCAGCTGGTCCCCCACCTTCCCTCAGGGCCTCTCTCATTCAACTGGGCGTGCCCCCTCGTACCGGTCGTCGACATCAGCGAAATACACGAAGTGCTTGCCGTGGTAAGGCTGTTCATTTGGTGAAGGTCCTCTGACTTTGAGGTGATTGGATAGTGATCAAGACTGGGCGACAAGTCGGGACCGTAAGAGATGCGCCAAAAGACCAGCTGGGTCGCACCAGCCGTGCCGTTGACATAAAAAACAACATTCGCCCAGCGTGAGGAAGGAACCACGTCGTGAAGGTTTCTTGAGTAGACGCCGGGGGGGTACTTCACGAAGGCAGAGCTAGAAACTTTGCTCGTGCCAAGGGGCAGAAGGGATTCAAAACGGATCTACGCTGATCACAGTAGAAATGGGAACATCTTTACTTGATTGTGTTCTCCATCGGTTTCATTTGATTGTTGGGTCTGTTCTAAAGGCCGTAGGTCGTGGCGTTGATGTATGGAATGAGTACTACTGTAGCATTCAGTGTTATATTTTCTACCACAGAATGGGATGTTGGGGTCCGTCGTGGACAGTTGTCGGAGGATTTTGCGTCTATAGCAGGGACCGCGAGACCGGTGGACTTGAAGGAGTGGCGTAAAGGGTACAGCAAAGGATAAGAGGGATACCCTAGGACTGCTGTGTAGCGACACGCAACAATGACCCAAGGATCCGGCTAAACACCTGAACGGAACCAAGAGCGTAGGTCGTGACTTCGTGGCATAGCGCTTCCCGCGACGATCGCTCGCAGCAACACTTGACCAAGGCCGAAGAGGCGGTGGGGCGATCAAGTACTTGCGAGCACAATCGCGGATGTTTTCAGCCCCCGACATCGGCTCAAGTTCTGCCATGTGTTCTGAAGCTTTCTGCACCATCTGTTGCGGCAACAATAGGAAGCTAAAAGTTGCCGACAATTCTGGGGCAGCCGCATGTTTCCACCCGATTTCCGCCGGATAACAATCAGACGGCGTATCACGCCTAGTCAAAACCAAACCCCGGAGCTACTCTGATTGCAGCGATTATCGGCAGTACCGCTGGCAGAGTGGAGCCCTTGAGGTTGACCATGACTGCCGGGCCCAATTTTATGACGAAGGAAGCGAGACACCAACCTGCCACCAAGGGTGGCGATAGGCCTTCGACGGGCTTTTGTATACTTGCATGAATGTTGTCTCAGCCGTGCCCGGACCGCAGCGAAACCGAGCTACGAAACAACTAAAAGTAGAAGTAGTTTTTTGTGTGAGTAGGATCCACACGATCCACACTCTAATATTTCATACAAATCAAATACTCAATCCCGCAGTAGCTGGCAAGTCTGCGGTGTACAAGACCTTGTGCAGCCTGAAAAGGGAAACCGGCACACCTCACCTACTAGACCCATATTCCCACCCGCAGAACAAAGAGAACCAGCGCCCCAAAATATCAGATCGCACACACCAAAATACAAAGACTAACGATATCCACCACAAAAGACGATACGTGGTCAACATCAATATATATCAAGGGGAAGTCCTGGCTCACGTTTTGACACGATCCACAGGATGCGGTTCATATCGCAATGTGAGCCAGCAAGCGCATTGCGCCACCGTTCGTGAACTAAACAGTACTGGTCAGTACAGTACTGGTCAGGGCTGACAGAAAACACCCCGTTTCTATTCTCAGACAAAACAATCGTCAAGTACAGTAGACCACATACGTTTACAGCACCCGGGTATTTTACAAGCGGAAGCCGCTCTTCCTACTGATGCGATTTTCCCATCCTGGAGGGTGACGCTTGGACCTTTCAGGCCCCACCTCAACATTCAGACACTCCAGGCCGTTCTTGGCTATTGTAGAGCGGCCTCACCCGAACCCCCAGGGCTTTTCTTCACCCCGACGATCTTGTGCATCCCGAAAATACGGTGCCTGGAGCTATGCGTTGGTCAGGAGAGAGAGAGAGGGCGGGCGAAAGATCGCTTAGAACCGGGATGGTCGAGCAGCAGGCTTGCAGCGACGAGGCGAGGCGAGACGAGACGAGATGGGTCCTTGCTTGCCGCACCTTCACCAGTACCACCATTGGCACAGAGCAATTGAGAACTCGACGTGCGGCACGAAATTGTTGACACCCCCCATGCGCAATCATATTTCTGTCAGTTGTACGTGGTGCTGGACCATTTGAAGAAACATCATTTTGCAACTCAAAAATTGTTCGCACTTTTTCCGATGGGTTCAGAACACGTCCACTGGAACTGTGGTTCCGACGAGCCACCTA